ATATGATATAAAAAAAAAAAAAAAAAAAAAAAAAAAAAAAAAAAAAAAAAAAAAGGCTACCTTCAGGAAAGCAAGTTATTTGCACTAATGGATGTGTCTAAAAGTTTGCAGGGTTTTTTTTGTTTTTTGCTTGTTTTTATTTATTTATTTTAAATTAGATGCACTATAAAATAGCAGAAAGGCTAACTTGCTTCTCCTACCTCCCCTGAGAAGCACTGTTCTTGAAGTTGGCTCTCCTCTTTCTGAAGAGAAGTGCTACCCTCTAGCGGGGCTGCATCGAAAAGGCTTTTGAAACATGTTTCCTCCCCCACCTCCAAAACAGGAATTGAAGCTGTCAGGCTCAGAAATACTTAAACTTGGTATTTAGCATCAGTTAGGGAAATCACAAGTCTCCAAAACTGAGTTATGAAATGACAAGCTATATCCTACTCATGCCTACCATAGCTCAAAGCAAACGCAGCAGCAAGTGCAGGTCTTGAACCAAGAGGCTACCCTAAAAACCCCTTAACGTTATTGTACACATGCTCCAGGGATACATTATTTTCTCACAGGAGCACTCAACCTGTCTCCACCACCTGCTGTACCCAGGTTTTCTTGGCAAGGCAGTAGGCACAGATATTTGCAACCTAGTGAAACCCCAGCATTTAACACTACCACTACAACACATCATTAGCTCCTTGGAGGTAAAGAAAGGGGTAACTGAGAGCAAATGAGTCACTTTTGCTGGGGTAGAGAGAGAAGGAAACTGCAGTAGAGACGTTCGATACCTACCATATTCTCCAAAGACCAGGTATGTGTAGTTCTGACGTTGTACAACCCAGGAGACAACATTCACACCAAACCAGATCAGCAGCATCCCCAGCGTGGCATCAAGGATGAAATTAATGAGATAACTAAATGCAGAAGAAAAAGCTACTCTGTAAAACTTTAAAATATAGGCTTTGGTCATGGTCTTAAACCTACACAAAACAATCAAGACCTGTGTCAACATGGGAAGCCATCAAAAAAAAAAAGAGAAACACAATAAAACAAACAAACAAAAAAATCAAATTCTCCACTTAAAGTAGCATCCTTTAAGTAAACTCTCCATAATATGGATATGGAGTAAATCTAACAGTAGGAATTTCTTAGTTTAAGAGTCCATTAAGCAGAGAAGGGATAAAGGTGCCAGAGCTCAGGAGACCTGTAGGGACCTTCTAGCATAGGGCTTTAATACAGTGTTATAGTAAACTCCTGAGAGAGCATCTTCAGCTCTGAAAGCTAGCCAAAGAACATTCATCTTTTTGGAGCCTTTCTGCTAGATCTGGCCAGATTTCTACAGCATGAAGAAAATGCCAAGCACAGTTACAGAAATGAACAGGAACTTTTCCAGAAATTCATAGGACTTAAGAATAAAGGCCCTGAGAATAATCATCTGCTTTTAATATCCACTTTGAAAAGATGACTTAAAGTTTTTCTATAACCTAAGGCTCGGACTAGCTTGCTGAGACATTCAGCTGCTGAAATTGGAGTACTCCAATACAAACAAGGCTCATGGTGTTTTGTCTTGGGAATAGCACATAGACTAAGAGTCTCAAAGTCCAGGGACAGTTTTAAGCTGCCTAGTTTAGAATTACAAATCAAGAAACAGAAGAAAAAAAAGCAAAAAAGTGCACAAACACAAGAGTAAAACTGAAGGACACTGTACAAGCATAAAGGATTTTATTTTGTTCTAAAATATTGCCTGTTTAAAAACAAACATGATGAATCAGTTTGTAGGCTATATTTAGTCCCAGTCAACCTTGTGAATGTTTCAAGAAACACATCTAGGTGCAGCACTTCAATATATACAAAGGAGGAAATGAGTCTGAAGATTTTAAATAGCATTTTAAGGCCTGAAAAGTTATTCAAATGAGGGTAAAGTTAACTTTGCAACTAAGTTTGTAGTTACAAGGCAACTGGTTTGGAAAAGGTGATTTTGACTAGATCAGACCAGGAGACTGCAAAAACAATATAATCTAGATACTAAAAAATAAGCTCCTCATATTTATCTCCACCTAGTACTTTGAATGCTTCAGTTTCTACCGCACTTTCCAGTAGTGTTTGGTCCCTTTTCATTCATCAGTGCAAGCACCTTGAATACTTACAGAGAACAAGGGTCCTCTTCAGTGAGATCAGACAGAAAAACATTAGCAAAGTGGATGAAGAGTGCACCTATTGCTTGCTTGGAGGTGTCATAAAACCTGAAGTTAGAAGTTAAGAGAGGCAATAAAATTGGTACTGGAATATTATCATCAGCCACTCAACCTGATGTACTTTCCTACAAGCTATTCATGATTCTCAGAAGTCATGCATACTGAAAAGTGAGAATTTGGCAGATGCAAGTAGTTTAGAGAAGGAAACAAAAACTTCAGCACTTCAGTCTTGAAGATCTGCATCTGAGGCTTCCTAAGGACTTGGAGTTGGAGATGGCCCAGATGAGGTGAGGCTATGCCAGCAGGTTGGAGAGGACCATAAACTTGCAGTTCAGGTCACCTGCAGCAAAACAAGCCTGACTGAGGAAACTAGACAGGGCTTTTCACTTCTAGGGATTACCAGTTAAGTTTCCTTGGGAAGGGGTGAAAACAGAGTTTCATTTAATAACTCAACAGGGTATATTCAGAGCGCTGTGGTATCCAGGAAAACAACACCGATTAATGTGTTTAAGATCCATATTAAAAATCTTACCATATCCTCCAGGGACGCCTCTCTTCCTTTGGTTCCTTAAATCGTTTTACTACAAAGAAACAAATAGAGAGGTTAGGTTAACCAGCAGACCGAGACAGACACATCTATACAGTCTGTGCTGATCTCCAACACAGTAGTAGGCAAATCTGGAGGATTCCCAGCACTTGCCAGGCCAAGGCTAAGCAGAACCAAAGGGCCTGGCTTCAGATTAAGCAAAGAACAGCACCCATAAGTCAGAAAGCCAAACACAAGAGTTATTTTTTGACATAGGCACATACTTCTCACCTTCAACAGCTCAGCATTTTACACTACTGGAAGGGGCCTGAAGTCCATCACTACCTACCAGCACCAACAATTCTGCAGTCAAACCAAAATCATGGTTGTGGCAGTCATGGCATTTCCCAAGAGTCCATTAACTTCTCAGATCACAGGATCATGATAAAGCCATCTCCTATCCACAGCTACCTGGACAACATGACCTTCAGGAAGCAGGAGCTTGCCTACATCTCTAGCATAAAGGTACCAATGCCAAACATTAAAGCATTACAAGCTGGCATGGCTAGCTAGAAGTAGGGTTAAAACATTGTTCAGTTACACAACACCCTGTGTGTTACCTGGCTGCTGCTGTAGAGCTTGTGAAGCAGCAGGTGAAAGTGCTGATGAGAGGCTAATCTGTAAAAACAGACATTCTGCCACAAACAGCATGAATATTATGGAAATAAGAGATGTGTTAAGTCTGCTTATCTACAGTGGAAGGACATCAAGTTTCTAAAGCCTCAAGCTTAAAACTTGACCAACCTCAAGCTGATAGCATCAAATCTGCAAGTATACCCAGGCCAGCACCTTATTTACCCAGAACGGGACAGAAAGCCAGCCTTTATCACCTCAAATCTGGCCACCCCTGTCCTAGGGCACCTCAACTCAGAAAGCTTCTCTTGGGTGCCTGAGAGGTACAGCTCTGATATCTCTTTTGGGGCTGATGGTGTGTGTTATTTCAAGCAACTCTTCAATAAGTTTGTAAGGGAGGACATCTTGTAGTCCTTCAGATGTCCTTATCCACATAAGTCCTCCAGTGCTGGCTATCAGAGTTACCACTCTGAGCTTTTTCCAGTTACTACCTGGAGGAGAAAAAAAAAAAAAAAAAAAAAAAGGTTTTTTGCTCAGTTCTCTTCATGAGCATTGCAAAAATATTTCAGCAGATTCAGTTAACTTGTCCTAGAGAACTGATGGAGCATCAATGCTGTATTCAAACAGCTTTTACATGTGCCAATCACAGCAACTAATGGAAAAATACAAAGTGCTACATCACATGCAAAAGTCAACTTGGATGGCTTAAACACCAATTCATCTTAGATCCCATTTTAGAAAGTGCTGGACTCCCTCCCTTTAAATCACACAGGCCCTCTGAGACAAGCTGCCCTAGAAGGGGCATTTCA